ATTATTAATATTTTAATCAATAATAATTAATTAGAAACTTTTAGTAAATCATTATTTATTTACATAATATTTATTTTTTATTAAAAATTTATTAATGTTATGATTTATTTTATTAGATAAGCAAAAATTTTTATTCTTGTTAATTAGTACTATTATCATATTTGAAAGTATTTAAGTAAAAAAAAATTTTGATAAAAATAAGTTAGTAATATATAAATTTATTAACATTAAATAAAATACTAATTATTTTAAATAAATATAGCTTATATTATTGGATTAATTCTTTATCATCATTTTTATTATTATATTTGTCGTCATCTTTATCAGATTTATTATTATCACATTTAAGAACATCATTTTTGTCAGTAATATGATCAGAGATATTGAAGATATTTGAGATAGTGGTTAAAGTAATTGAAGTGTCACTCTAAATATCATCATCATCATTAAATTTTATCTAAATAAAGAAATTATAATTAAAATATTTAGCCTATTTGCAAGTTTTAGAATCTTTTAATTAAATTATTTAGCATATTTGTGAGTTTAGAAAACTTACCAAAATTTTATATAATTTAATAATGTTTTTAGAAATCTATATATTTTTTATTTTAGGATTTAGAAGAATTTTACATATAATAGTAGTATAAATTCTTTGAAATGATATTCGCTTCTTAGATCTTCAAATTTTATCTAAAATATGAGTTAAGTGAATAGTTCATTCACTATCTTTTATTTGAACAAATAATTTAACCTAATATTTCTTTATTTTTTGGATTTTTTCTAACTTTAAATCTTTGTTAGACTTACATTAGTATTTATTTGTAATAGTTTGACCTTATTGAATACTGCAAATATTATATCTTTAATTTGTGATGTTAAGGTATTATAAAAACTTTGATGTTATTTTAATAGCTGTTAATAAGTATTAAAATATTAAAATTATATATAAATCTTATCATATTTATATTTAAGTAAACAAACTTGCAGCATGATAAATATTTTTTCATAAAAGATATCCAATGCTTTCAGGTAAATTTACCAAAAAATTCAAAATGATTTGCTGCTTGTGTTAGATATATTGATTTAGTTAGTATCTCTTTTACTATATTTTTAATCAGATTCTATAATGAAATAATTTAAAATAAAATAATAGTTTATATTTAATATATAATGTATATCAATACTTTTATATAAAAAATATAAACTAAAATAATATAAAACAATTCTTACTTTTTTAAAAGTTTTATCAATATTATATGTTTTGTACAATTCTCTTTCAACTTTATAATTTTTTTCTCTAGTTTTTTTTAATCTGATATTAATGTATCAAGTTTAAGCCTCGCATTTTGATTTAATATCTTTTTTCAATATTATTATCAAAACTGTGTATAAATAAAAAATTTTTTTAAGAAAAATTATATGCATATTTTTAAAAAAAATACTAAATTAATGCTTTTATATATTTTCTACAGATGTCTTGTCAAAATACTTCTCTTTAGAGCTTGAGGTTTTTGTTCTTTTGCTTGATCTAGCTTATTTTTAAGTTTGATAAGTTAAAACTTTCCTTCTATTCATTTTTAATTTTTTTGTAAAAAAATGAAAAAATAATAAATTAAAATTAGATTTTAAAATTAAATATGATTATAATTAAATAAGTTTTTTACTAAAAAAAGAAATAAAATATTATATTACAAAAAATAGAAAAAACGCATTTGTTTTAATGTTTATCTTATAATGACAACTTTTTTAAAAGACTAAAAATACAAAAGGTCATAAAATTAAATAAAATATTTTTAAATTCTATTAATTATCTAATTCTATAATAATTCTATTTCAAAAAAAGAAAGAGAAAAAAAAAAAAATATATAAATAATATGACATAAATATAAAAATATATAAAATATATAGAATTACTATTTTTGTAAAAATTAAAACAAATTATGCATAATAATGTAATCAATGATAAAGAGTTGCATAATTAATACTAATAATATATATTTATGTAAAATTATACAAATTATACATACATTTTTTGATTAAATATTGCAGATTTTATTGTCTGTAAAATTTATGAAATACTATAATCAAAATTCATCACAAAGTTTATGGTCTATAATATTTATGTAATACTAAGATTGAAGTACTTTGTAAAATATACTGTAATTATAGTATTGAGTAAATCATTAATTTTTTATATTTAAAAACTTATGTAATTTGACAATCTTATATTAGATTTTCATATTCAAAAAAAAGAATGTTATATTATGCTAGTTAAAGTATTAATCATTAAATATTTTCTTTTTATATATTTAAATTTACATTTTAATAAAATATTTGCATACATTAAAAGATTTTATATATCAAAATATAGAGTTAAATTTATTAAGTAGTATTATAAAGTAAATATTAGTTTTCAATTAAATAATATATAATGCATGACAATAAATTTTAAAAAAAAATATAATATAAAAAAAAAAATAGAAAAAAAATACTAAAAATACTAAAAATACAAAAAAATACAAAAAAAAAAATTAAAATAACAAAAATCACAAAAATTAAAATTAATATTTTAGTCTTTTCTTCTATCCTTTCTCCTATTCCTTTTCTTATTTCTCTTTCTATCTCTTTTATTTCTTCTATTTCTTCTTCTTAATTCACTTTTAGATCTATTTCTTTTAGATCTGCTTCTTCTTTTTTTACTTTTTTTCTACTTCTGATCTATTTAAATTATTACAGTCAAAACTAATTATAATAAATCTCTTTATAATGAATGCTAGATATAATAAACTCACAATTTTTAAATTTTAATTATAAAAAGTATAATGGTTTATATAAAAAGTATAGTAATTTATATTACAAAGTTTTTTTTAATAGAACCATCAGTTTATTATAAAAAACATTGACTGTACTACTTTTTCATTTACTACTTTTTCTACTATTTTTTCTTTCTCTACTTTGATTTCTAAACTCAAGCTATTTTCTATTTATTTGTTACCTAATATAGGATCTTATTATTAGATTTAAAAATAAAAAATTAATTAATATATATATTAAATAAAATAAATAATAAATTTGTTAAATTATCATAATTACTTTAAAGTAATCAAAATCTTCTATTAACCAAAAAATTTGATATAATATCTATTAGAACTTCTTAATTAAAGTTTTTCAGAATTTTCTATGACTTGTATTAGATTATTTAAATTGATTTCTTAGGATATTCAATCTTAAATGCTAGCATATTTATGATTACTAGCATTTTCAAAATCTTTTTGATAAAGATATTATAAATTAATTAAATTATTAGTAATATCAAAGATTTAAATACTAGCTGACATTTTTGAATTTTTTCTAGTGAGTAAATTGTAAAAACTTATGGATATTTATATACACAAAAAAATTATTAAATCATATTATTATTATTTTTACATTTATCACAAAAGTCAAAATTCAAAATCAAATATAATATATGTACATATATAAATTTGTTATTATAAAAAATCATTTCTGCATAATTATATTATTGAAACTTTTAATACATTTAAGAAAAATATTTTTATTTAATTATATGTATATAAGCTTATAGAATATTATCTAGTATATGATTATTTAATTAAACAAAAATTTTTATTAATAAAAGGAGTCATACATTCTAGTTTAGATATTCTAAATAACTATTCATTAGAATACTAAAAAAAGAAGTCATTCTTACATAATTATACTTTAATCACGTTTAATATAAGATATATATCATTTAATTAGTATAAAAATTTTAAATTACCAAATATATCAATCAGTTAAATGTTATATATATTAGTTATACTTTAATCACGTTTAATACAAAGTTAATCAATATTAAAAGATGTTAGGCATTTCTCAATATATGATTCAAATAGGAAATATTATTATTAGAGTTTTATGATAAATTATAATGATTTGCTATATTTCTCGTATAAATTAAAAAGATGTTAGACTTTTCTCAATATAAAATTCAGATAGAAAATATAAATAATAGTGCTTTACGATAAATTATAATGATCTGCTAAAATTTTCATATAAATTGAAATGATATTGAACTTTTTTTAATATACAATTTAGATAGGAGATATTATTTATAATATAGAAAAATAATTAAAATACAAATCTACTATATAAATATTTTCAGTTATTTCAAGTTATTTTAATAAATTATAATAATCTACATAAATTAAAAAAAAGTATTTAAGATATTTATTAAATCAAAAAAAAAATAAAAATCTAAATAGTTTGTCAAAATTATATAAGTGAAAAAAATTTTGGTAAACAATTTTATGATTCATAAATTTACACAATATTAAATAAATAAATCTTATTATAAATTAATAATTTTAAAAAATTATAAACATTTGAAGAATAATAAAAAATATTAAAGTTATATAGGCTCTTTGTAATAAAAGGGAGGAAACTACCAAAAAAATTTTTTTTGAGTTAATGTTAAATCTGAACTTATTTTATTAAAAAAAATATTATTTAGCTTATAAAGCAAAAAAAAATTTTTTTTGGTAGTTTTCTTCCTTTTTATTGTAAAGAACCTATATGATAAAAAATTGGAAAATTTTGAATTGATTATAGTAAAAAAATAATTGACTGATACTATATATTATTCAGTTAAAAAATAAAAAAAATAAAAAAATAAAAAAAAATTAACTATTATTTTTCATTTTTCTGTTTTTTTAATTGCTCTAGCTGTTTTCTCAATTAGAGTAATAGCTATAATATATTGAATATCATCCTCACTTAAATCTATTATTGCAGTACAATATATTGTCATTATTAACTAATATCATATTGAATTAGATATTATTTCTATAGTTATATTATATTTAGGATGTCTATTTACCTTATAATTTTTTGCACAAAATAATATATTGATCATTCCATATTGTTTTATATTTACTTTTTTTAAATTGTTTATAAGATTCTGTGATTCAAAATAAATTTTTCTTTGTCTGATCATATATCTAATTTACAATTAAATCCTCATCTTCAATATGTATCTTTAACGCCTCTGAATTTATATCTTTTTCATCTTTAAAAATATAATTTTTAATAAATGAATCTAAAGAATTTTTACATTGATCATGAATGACTTTTTTTTCATTATCAGCATAGTTTATTTTACTATGATTAAATGATGAATATATCTCTATTGTAATTTTGATTTTAGTTCTAAAATAACTTACTATTTTTTTATTAGCAGATTCTCTAATTACCCTATCTACTATTCTATTATTATAAATAAATATCACTGATTTATTTTTATCAATTATTCTCACTTCATTATCATTTAATAAATTTATACAATTAACTTTTTTATAATAAAAAGCCTTTTTTTTAAGGTATTTTTTGGCTAAGTTCAGTTTATACATTTATGTTAACTATTTTTACAGATCTTTTAATTATAATTTTTAACTGGGCTTTTGTAAATTTGTATTGATTATTCTAACAATCTAATAATTTTTGATATTTTTTTAACTCATCTGATCTTTCACCTTTATATTTAAAGTTTAAATATTATTTATTAAAAATCACATAAATTCAGAAATTTGGTCCTTTAAATAAAAAAAATATTTAAATTAATATAAATTTTCAAATAAGAATATTTTTTAATTTTTATTTGTTAAAGTTAAATTTATTTACTTTATTATTTAATATTCCATAATTTATTAATTATATTTTAAAATGATTAGCTTCTCTGAATAAAATTCTTCTTCTCAATATGCTAAAATTATTATAAATAAAGTTGACAATTTTTTTGATATTTTATTATCTATCCATTATCTAAAGAGGATTGCTAATAATATCTCTTAATAGGAATGGCTAGTTTTACTAAATAATATCTTTTAAGAATGACTAAAAATTACTAATTTATTTATTTGTTCAAAAATATTGTTTTTAACAAATAAAGAATGATAGGAAAGAGGATAATCAAAAACTGGTTTATATGCTTTAATTATCACTAAATCTAAGCTAATTTAAATTTAATAATATCTGTCCTCTTATTATTAAATTTATTATACTAACAAAATATAGTGTATATGCATAATTATTTTTTAATTGAAATAATAATATATATATGTAATCAGATTTGAATCAAAGGGTATATGAAATAACATATTATATTGTATTATCTTTCTTTCTTTTTTTATGTTAAATCAACTTCAAAAAAATTAAAAAAAATTAATATTATGTGATTAATATAAATTTTAGACTCAGGTATCTGCATATAATAGTAATGATTTAAATTAAAAATTACTTATTAAATTAACGATACATGAAATAGTATATAGTCTCATATTATCTCTTTTTTTTCTCAATTATCTAATATTTATCAATTAAGTTCATGAAGGAAGGCGTAGCAAAGCTGCTTGGGGTAACAAATAAACTCTGATTTGAGTTT